GATCTTATCCTTCACACCATTTATGCAACATTATGCATCACCACAGATTATTTTTCCCACATGCAACGGTTATAGGATGGGGCGAAAAGGCCTTACGAAGAAGCAGAAACAGGGGAATTCTGCCAATTAACAAAATGTCGGTTACCCATCTGATAATGGTTTGTTGCTCATCGCGCTTACATTTTAGTTCTTACTTGGCGGGTTTTATATATATATATATTTCAGAGATGCTGTATTAATTTCTCCTTTAGGATTAATTACGTTCCTGATGATCGTCAATGCCGGGTTATTAGATTTAAAAGGAATCTTCACGGCTAAATCTCTTGAGAAAGTTGTCCGACCATATATGGCCAGGCGGTATTAATTGAAATTATTTTACACGCCTGCTTAACAATTTTAATAGCGTGATGTTGAACAATTCTATCCTAGGTAGTGACTACTTTTTAAAAAATAAATAAATAAAGCACGTAACGTACTGTACGTAATTACGAATCTTCGAGTTTCTTTTTTTTTTTTTGTAGTACATGAGTGACACGAGTTTTCTCAATTGAATACGTATTGTCAAGGTATTACACAATAATACATCTACGTGCATTCCCTTCCTTCTGCTCTTATCCAAAATGGTGAAAGTAGATTAAGCCTTCTGCTCCACTTAACCGATGCTTACATTATTTACCCGACATCACATACGTCATGGCAGAAAACGGAGAGAATACGTGAATCATGTTAGGTTACGCGCGTATTTTATATATTCCGTGCACACCAATTGTCGCGCTTTTTTTACCCTCTTTCAACCACAATGGAGAAATTATTGTCTCCAGCTCATATTGTAATTAACAACATTTCATTGTAAACAAACAAATTATGTCATATTGCGCACAATATTAATCATGTCCTTTATGATTTTAAGTTTCCTGGCGTTTTTCTGTTACAATGGAATTTCGTTGACCAATACTCGTCTGATATTTTCAATTGAAGGAAGGCGTCTCCCCATTGACGACATCAAAAAAAGTATTTCAAGGCCTCTCGGTGCTAAACCATTTTTAATGCGATGAAACATGACATTGAGGGAAATGAGAAAGCATATATAAAAAAAAAAAAAATTTTTTTTTCTTTATTTCTTTATTAAAAAGAAGGTTCATCGATGCAGATTGGTTTATGCACCATCGTCACTTCAGCGTTGCTTATGTTGCATAATAGGTCATATAAGTTGGAAGTTTGGTGATCGTACATGATGGTTATTCTCGCTTCATCTATTTCATTTGTGTTCCTTGATGACAACTCATTAATTATCCCTCTTTCTAATTACGGAATCCTTTCTTATCGCTCATGTAACTGTGTTGTATAATCGTGAAAAGCAAAAAGAAAACGAGTTTTTTTATGTGGAACAACAAGTGGAACTACTTCACCAACTTTCATGTGTAATATTTACCACTTTTTAGAGAAGATCATATGTGCACCAAACTATTCCAATATAAGAGCACCTGTTGATGCATGCCTGTATCCTTTTTCCGATTACATTACCCATTAAACATGTCGAATCGATTAGGAGAAAAGTGCCACTAATTGTTTTTCATTCTTATTTGATGAATTTTTGTCTAGAAACTGCCTGATTCATGCCGGAATTAATGGGTATATATGGAAAAAAGGGTGCTACTGAAAAGTCAAGAACCCGTGAACTGTTACCCGTTCCGAAAATTACATAAGTGCTCATCTATTTTATCTATTCTAACCGACTTTTATAATCGATTATCAGGGACCCGCTTTCACCTGTGTCACTATTTATTTACGTTTCCATAAACTAGGTTTTTCAATGAATACCCCGGCGAAACATGCACTCGCGTACATACATGTGTCACGGTACCCGCGAAACATTAAGTCGCGCGTCCATCTGATCTCCATTCCGGCACGCACATATCATTACATATCATTGAATTAACACTGTAACACGATGCACCGATCGGTGGCCCGCCTTTGTTTATGTTCGTACATACGTGTTACGTACATTATGATTTAAGGCGTGGATCGAACACTCTATTATCTCTCGTTTTCTTAAGAGGTGGAGTGATTGAGTGAAGAAAGAAGGGGGGATGAATGACCCCCTTAATGAACAATGGAAACGGGCCTACACTCACGCTTGCGAAAAACATAATCGGTGGTGATTGATTCACAGTTGAATGCGCAGTCGTTCAATTGTTCCTGAATGCATATCCATACATATTTCATTGTAATGAAGCATGATGGTTAAGTGTTTTGGCGACTGGCCGCTCAGAATCCATTATCAAACGCCAGGCGCACATTTCCATTTTTGAAAAGGAACAAATATACACTTTGAATACCGTGCATTATTTAATTACATAAAACAAGATTGCCTGCACAAGTCCGAAATAAATTATCATTGCATACTGCATTTTACGTTGTTTTTCAGATGGTCTTTCTTCAAATTTTCACACGATCATTCCAGATGAAATAAATCAGTGTACTCTGTACTCTTGGCGATTTTCCACTTAATTTGGCATTTCGGCTCGGGACATTAGTCAAGGAAACAATTATGGGAGTTCTCATGCGTTGGTAGAGAAGTTTGTCAGACGTACAGAAACAATAATGTTTTGGCATGCGATCATTCGATGAATTTATATCAAATAAGGAAATCTCAAAGACATTCTTTTTCTTTTTTCGTGTTATTATTTAAAAATTTTAAGGCTTATCTGCATCTACGTGACATCCGTGACACTTCATAAAATAAGAAGACACGTGCATAAAGATGGTGTGATTCACCGGATTTCGTATTGGACCCGCGTTTTTGGCTTAAATCTAACCTGATGATGTGGCTTGACCATATCAGGTATACGCGACGAGAATTTCAGTATGTTTGCAATTTATCGGAAGTTTTTATTCTGGATGTGATGTTTGGAAGATTCGATTTTTTTTAAAAAATATATACAGTACATTGATTTTAATTGATGAAGAAACAATTGATGGAGAACTTTTAAATATAAATAAATGTTGTGTGTACTATACATATACATACATTTTTTTAAAAAAATATACAGCATATTTTAATCCGTTATCTCGAATCTTTGATCGTCCTTAAAATGAAGTGATACAAAAATATCTTACGCAAAAGAAAACAAACTAAACAAAATCACTTCTATTTCGAGTTAAACAAAGGTCCCTCTTGATTTCAATTTGAAAGGTCACGATCATCCCCCCAAGTGTTTCTCATTGAATGTGACACGATGTCATAATTGTCGTATTTGGGTTAGTAAATGATACGATGTTAATATCGAATTTTCTTAATTTTTTTTTTATTTTTTAGGTGCAGTGTCTACGTATTAAAAAACGATTTTAACTTTATTATCAGTCCAATTAACATTGCCACATTCGATTCAATCAATTCAATGTTGCAAGTCCAATTCAATTTTTAATTCCAAATTGTCATTGATTTTTTTTTCTCACATTTTCCTTTACTGTATTCACCTTATTCAAAGATTGTCATGTCTAATAGGGTAATTATGCATAGGTTATATGAAAATACCATTTATGTTTTACGTATACAGTATAACTATATACTATGCAAATAAAAACATCCCACATTTTAATTTATTATTGTACGAAAATATATTACTGTATATCTAATAACTTTATTTAAATTTTTAATGTTGTTAAATTTTTAATTTCACAAAATGTATTTAATTTTACAAATAAAAAAATTTTTAAAATTGGTAAAAAACAAATAAATATTATTATATTACTAATTATAAAAATTTTGTATATATATAAAAAAAATAATAATATCTCTTGTATAACATAATAAATTAATAAATGTAATGCTAGATAACAAAAAAAAATCAATATTAAAATCTTTATATATTGTTATATATAGTTTTTTACATTAAAAATTAATAATATCAAAAAATTAATAGCAAAAAAATATTAAGTGAAAATGAATAATATGATATATTAAAGTTTTTAAATATATATATAATTGTTACAATTCTAATGTTAAAAAAACCAAATTATTAATATTAATAATAATTTGTTTAACAAAAACCAAAAATAAACTATATAATTTTAAAAGAATTAAAATTTATCATATATAGGGTATTGCAAAAAAAAAAGCTTTTATTTGTAACTTAATAAAAATTATTTTAAAAAAAAATAAATTTAAATATAATTAAATTAACATCAATAAAATAAGTTTATTTGAAATTACTTTATTAATTAATTTATAATTTAATTTGATATTTTGATTTTTAATAAAAATTTTATATTATACTCTTAAGTTTCTGTTTAATTTCTATTTAATAATAATAATAATATATCTATATATTTATATTGGTTTTGCTTTTTTAAATTAAAGATTTTAAAAGTAAAATAAAAAAACAAAATGATAAATTAAATAATTTTCTTTTTAAAAAAATATTAATATTAATATAATTAATTTTTAATTAAAAATTTTAATAAATTTATATCTTTTAAAATATAAATTAAAAATATTTTTTTAATAAATACTTATTTAATAATTATAAAAATTTCAGTTATAAAATTTTTTTTTGTTATTTTTTTACAATATTTTATATGTATAATACATAATATATTATAATTACCCTCTTATCACCAAACTGTTACAACTATAATTTCAAAAATTGGAATCAAACAGACTTACATAAACTTATATGAGATTTGAAACACTATTAAAATGATGATAGATTATAACTCACATAATAAATTTAATATAAACTTAATAATTAAAAATCAAATAAAATCAAATTATTAAAATTCTTAGTTATAGCATAACTCAATTCAAGAATATACTACTCTTAATATCCTTGCATATATAAATAACTTAACTCTTATCACAGATTTCAAACAAAAAACAAAAAATCTTCTTGCAATAATCAACCAATTCTTTACAGTAAATAATATTATATGCAACAAAGTCAAAACAAAAATAATTAACAATATTAAAATAAAACATAATACTTATGATACTATCAAATTTGATAATTATTATATTCAAGTCCTTAAACTATATAAAAGTATCAAATATCTTAAAATATTGATTTCTCCTTAAAATTTTAACAGGATCCATAAAAAGACATTTATAGTATATAAATATTATTACAAATTATTGAAAAACTTCTCAAACACAATTGGAAAAAAAAATTAAATAACAAATTAATAATTGAATCATTATAAAAAATTTTAAATATTTTTTATTCTCATCATTTCTTAACAAAATAATTCTCAATTTACTTTAAACTAAAATTAACAAACTTGTGAAATCAACTTACAAGATCTTATCTAAATGCTCCAATACAATTCTAGCCAACTATGGTATTCTTAACTATACATATAATA